GAACCAATTTTTGCTTTAAGCTGAATAACGGTAAATTGCAAATATCTCGAAAACGTATCCATAGAAAAAAAATTAACTAGAATTTCGGAATCTCCGAGCAATTCTACATAGAAATTGGATAGTGGCGTCTGGATAACAAAAACCAAATTAAAATTTGTGTTCCAGTGTAATTATAATTAAAATATATTTTAAAGAACGTAGACACGTCATTTATAATTGAAAAAATTTTAAATTTACAATTTCGTGTCGTTGGCATTTGCATTTCATTTTTAAGTGTAAGTAATTTATAGACATTCACTCTCAACACTTATTAAAGGTTTATTTGAAAAAAACTTTAAATATACCTAATATTAAAAACGCTTATTTAACGCTTATTATAGCAAACTTACTTTAAGTTATTTTTAAAAACAATTACTGAAATAATTGTTGGGACGTGATGCTGAAAACTCATTTTTAAAATATTGGTACACAGAAAAAAAGAGTCATAATAAAGTGTAAACATTTTGGGTTTCTGACAGCTGCCAGTTGCCGCGCACTGGGCCGAATACAGTTCTCAATAAAAATCAGAAGAAATATTTTTCAATATTTCTCATGCTATTTGACCAGAAATTTAATCTATTAGCTTATTTTGTATGGAAGACTTAGCCAGCATAATTATATTGCCTTATACAAATCTATATTCGAACTTGAGGCATTGCCATTCAGCGTCAGAAAGTTTTCTGCTTCAGCCAATCAGAAAGAGTCAAAAGCTTGCATTTGACACTACAACGTTCGCAAATCTACATTTCCAATAATATGAAAAATTAAAAATTAAAAAAAAATATCAAAATTGTATGCATGTCTGCTTGTCACAAAAAAAGGATAATGCGATAATTACACAGGCCTGCGAAATTTAAATTTTTTTGTTCTTTTTGTTAATATCTGGTTATGTTAAATTAAAATGCATCTTTGGTTTTTATCTAGCACGCTGAGATTTTTTTATGAATGACATGCATATTTTAGGATTTTTAGCAATTTGCACGAAGAGCCAAAAATTAATTAATATGGAATTGAATTTTTATTTAAAACCAACAGTATTAGCTAAACATATCCATAAGGAGACTAAGCAAGTCAGAAAAACTTATGTTATTTCGAAGTTAACTCTGACAAAATTGATAAAAGTTATTTTCTTGGCGTTACCGCGCATTACTAGCGTTAGGAAATACAAAATTTCGTAATCCCACGCTACTCACAGCTGATGAAAGAACACCACCTTATATGAATTCGCCTTGGTTACATTTCATTCCGACGCCGAATTTGTTATAATGCTGTTATTATTTGAATATATTTATGATAATAAATATTTATGTATATACTATTAACTAAAACTTTCTCGCTTGAATGAAAATAAAAAAAAACATCTATCCTTTTACAGATTATAAGAATCTGGCGTCTGCAATTGTCCCTGGTGTTAATCGGCGCAAAAGAACTAAGTGGGCTAACAAGTTCTCTGCATTGACATTACGCGACTACCATCTTCAAACAAGAAAAGTAGGATCCAAAATAAATTTCCTAATTGCCCAACAAATTAATTGGAACGAAGGTGATGCCTATGAAAATGAAGTCGGAGCATATTCATTAATCAGTGGTGAGCTACAGAAGTTAAAAGCAGCCAATACAGTGAGAAATAGGGTTGAAACGAAAGAAAAATGCAATATGGAGGAGTTTTATGTAAAAAGTCTTCTTGAAGTTGCGCACGCACAGGCGGGATGTTTGCTAAAAGACTGGCATGCATTACAAGGACGCGATAAGTCCCCTGAAGGGAGAGTAAAAAACCAGGCTGTAAATGCTGACAGAGAAATGAATCTAATTTATATGAAGTTGGAAGATCATTTTGGATTAAAAGAAAAATCAAAACCAAGTCCACATAAAAATGACACATTACAAAATGAAGGGAAAAAAGGAACAAGTGAAGTTGATATCAAATGCTGTTTTACATTAAAAAATGATGAACAACTAGTCAGCCTTAGCTCAGAAATGTCTGAAAGCTATATAAAAAATGAAAAATTACTTAAACACAACAGTGAGTACCATTCATGTAATGAACCTTCAGAACGCTTAAACGCAAATTCGGATGAGTCTTGCATTGGAATAGAATTATTTAAACATATTTCTGAGGAATGTGAATTGAATTCCAGCAGCACATTACAAAATATTTCTGAGAATTTCCACGGGACTTCCAGTAGAACTCGTAACTTATCTCCAAATATATTTGCTAGCTCCGACGATGAGTTTGAAGACGTTTCTAGTAAAAATCCGGGCACAGGTAGTCACCAACAGGAATTTAACGTTAAAAATGAAGGTAAATATCGTTAATTTTATAATTTTATTTCTTCGAAATGTATATGTTCTCTAACTCTCTGTCTTCCGTACTAAAAGTAAATCCAAATTTAAAAAATACGAGATTTCTTGGTATTGGAAAAAGTCATGAAAGACGATAGTTTCATTGACGGCCGATGGCCGGAGTATAGGCCAAAAGAATCGGCATCGGCCGTTTTTGGCCGATTCTTGAATGAGGTTATGTTGGTTAGTTATTTGATAATGTTCTTCTTTTGTTATATTTGTTATGTTTATAAAAGCATTTGTTCTTGAAATGAATTTAATTCAGGATTTAATCGGCCGAAGCATCGACCGGTTCTTTGCCGATTAAATCCTGAATATAATTTCACTTAAGAACAAATGCTTTTATAAATTTTTGTAATAACAAAAGAGAATCATAATCAAATAACAATACCTCATTCAAGAATCGATTCCGATTCCGATTCCGATTCTTTTGGCCGATACAGGCCTCGGCATCGGCCGATTCATCGGTCGGACTCTATTTCATTGTCACTTTTTGGGCGGCATGTTAACTACCTAACTATTAAGCAGTTTTGACATTTCATGCTACCATACCCAATCCCCATAGTTACGGTGGTTTTTCCACACTGTTTTCCTTGAAACAGTATCCTTATAGTAACATCACAAATTTGTAGGATAATTTTGTCGAGATTTTTATCCCAAAAAATTAAAAAAAAAAATTCGTTAAATTTGAGTACAATAAAGTGCAATTTTTAGTCGGTAAGGCCCCCCACTAATTTTTGGCAATTTTTTTTTTTGTTGACGGTGTTACGCATTTTTTCATACAAAGTAAGTATGTTCGACCATTATTTTTTGAAAGAGAAGCAAATGAGCAGCACTTTCCACTCGCTTTTTATTATACTCAAGTTTAATGAGTTACAAAACTGCAAACCAAATTTTTTCTAAAGATTCTAAATAAAAAGTTTATGCGAAACGTTGCAGAATTAATTTTTATAGTTTTTTGCACACAGTTGGAAATTTGGTATTGTATGGTTTTTGTTAGGAAAAGAGCTTTACTTTCATAAAATAAATAATAAACATTAAATAAACTAAGGAAAAATAGCCAAGACTTACTAAAGTGGCAGAGTCCTAATTTCTATTTTGGCCACTGTATGTATTCCTCGATTCGAATCACAGGCATTCTGATTAGAAAATAATAACTGTTTATAAAGAAAATTACGATCATATACCAACATCATTTAAAATTCGTTCATAGGCATGCCATTTTAATGAGCTGTTAAGGCGTCGGAACACCGAATACGGGACAAATACAGGACAGTAAAATAAATACAGAACATTTGGCGTCCCGTATAAAATAAATAAATTACCAGGACAATGGGTCAAAAAAGAGGACTGTCCCGTATAATACAGGACGGATGGTCACCGTACCCATAGTGGAATTATATCAGTAGTGCGATTCACTACGCTATTTTAACAACACTTGTTATGGTTAAGCCAGCCAAACGACAATTGTATAAATTTAGCTATATAGTAAACGTTTCCTTAACAACATTCGTTACCGCAAAATCAGCTGTTGTCGTTAACGATAACAAAGGCTGTTTATTTGCCGACCTCTATAACATAAAAAGTACGTTCTACATTCTTTTCGTATAGAAAAAAATGCACAGCACCGCTAGCAGAAAAAATATCAAAAATCAAAGGATTTTTCAGACCCATCAAACTTGCACCTTATTGTATTAAACTTTAATGGGCTACAAAACTGCATACATACTTTTTTTATTATTCTGATAAAACACTTGAAGTTTAACGAAAGTTTGTTGAATTTTGTTTAAATATTGCACAAGGTGTGAAGTCTATACGGTTTTAGGTGCAGAGTTTATACGGTTTTAGATGCAGAATACAATAACACAAAATACAATAACAACAAAAACAAATTAAATTAAAAAACAAAAAAATAGTTTGTTAAAACTTGTCAGTATGTGCTCCGGTTATAATTTTCCAATAGGGCGTAAAACAAATATAGAAAACTGGAAGTTAAAAGGTGATAAGTCTATGTTTTTAATCTTACAGGAACTGAATATACCTTGAATTTAAAGGAATTAAATAATTAAAGTTTTCAATTTAATACGTGTACATCGTTTATCAATGATGTCAATATCATATATATGTGCATATTTAAGTATTTCTTTATTAATTATCATGACACTAGCATAATAAAATCTCTTGAAAATAAATATGTACAAATGTGCTTACAGTGATTTTTTTTTTAAATATTTCCAATTGTTTTCATGTTTGTAAACTTGTGTTTTGTAAACTTTTTATTTACAGCTGCGAGTAAAATATTGCAGCGAAATTCAAAATTATGTTGTTTGCTACTTAAGTGCATTTATTTGTTTTTAATAATTTTATTTTCAATAGTTCTACCTACTTTCTAACAGAGACCACATAAAAAAAAGTTTCAAAGCTTGCACAAAATTCACAAAAATCAAAATCAAACTTAAAAAAAATTTAACCAAGATTGCGAACTTTTTATTCAGAATCTTAATAAGATTTTCGGGTATGTATAAAGTGCAAGTATGAAGTCGCTAAAAGTCACCGTTGATTTTTTATATTTTTTTTTTGTGGAGAGTGTTGCGCCTTTTCTTCCATATAAAATGTTTGTGAACTTTGTGCTCACACGAGCGCTTTGGCATATGCAACGAATTTATGCCCATTAGCGGCAGCACAGTTAGTGAATCGCACAATCGTTACTGCAAACAACAAAAATTGTTAGCTTACAACTCGACAAGGCGCATTGTTAAAAGTTAGTGAATCCCACTAAAGAGGTGAAATGATAAGAACGCGAATATAGATGTTAACACTCGTACTTTAAAATTTGATTATAAGGGAATCGAATGTCAGAAAATAAGGCGAGAACGCGTTTTTATTACTTCACCGGTTTATTGCGCTATGCCCAATTGTGTAAAATTTTTTTTTTAAAATATATTCACCAATTTCACTGAGCTTTTGAGGCCGTCTTTTTTTAAATGAAAAATGTCGTGGAAAAACAACAATAATTTACTAAGGTAGAAGTTATAGCTGCTATTTCGGAAAAGACCACATCTCCTCATCAGACTTCTTCATTGCGGTCACTGGGATTCGACCCAGCTACCCCAGCTTAAGAAGCCCACCGCGCTAAGTTCGCCTTATGAACTGTTGTTGCTTTTTCCACTTTTTCATTTTGGTCAACCCGACTACAATAAAGGGCAGCAAATATGTTGCTATTTAGACTTGATGATGTGGTGGTTGTTTTTGTATTAAAATTTTATTTTTAGAATACTTTAACTGGAAGATGTGCTCGTCCTTAAGTTATTTGTTTTTGTTTGATGTTTATGGCGTTTTAGCAATTATATTCAACAATTTAATTAAGCTTGAGAACGTTTTTTTTTAATGAAAATTGTTGCATTGGTCTCAAGCTCAATAAAATTGTGGAATATAATTGTTAAAAGTGCTGTTTTTATATTCCTGTGGTTTTCGATGAGTTAATCTCTAATCTGACAGATAAGCATCCTAACATTACATTCCTTTTGGAGATCGTCGATTACAGAATTGCTGTATGTTCAGGTTATAAATTTTGCATACGATTAGTTGGCGTAAGACAATAGGGGTATTCTCGGAGTCTTGCAAAGCCCTTGCATGGATTGCACGATAAAAACTGGTTTTCCTATGCGGGAGCTTTGCGAACCGTGCACTCCGTACACCTTGCAAGGGCTTTGCAAGACTGCGAGAATACCCCTAATGTGAGCATTAACTCTATTAGTAGCCCCTACAACAACAACAACCAACACTTTTTAGAAATTGAGACTTCCCGTGTTTGGCTTGGTGGATTCCCATCATACATAGATGTGCACTTTGCATTGCCAGTAAAAATGCACTAATCAGTAAATTTTTGCTGATAATGAAATTTGATTTACATTACCAATAAATTTTTATTGATTACTGAAAAAATAGCAATATTCAGTAACTTTGGTGGATCACTATCATACATAGATGTGCGCTTTGCATTACCAGCAAAAATGCAGTAATCAGTAAATTTTTGGTGATTTCGTTTCTTAAAATGTCACACATTCCCTGCCCTTTGAAGCTTTGTCAGGGGTGATGGTTGCCCTGAAAATCAGATAGTTTCTTAAAACGACAATATTATGAATTGCGTGAGCTGGACACGGATAAGAAGTAGGGATGCAAATTGTGGGGAGTAACATCGATACATCGATGCTAAAATACATCGCCAGAAAAACATCGCTATATTGATGATTTCCGATGTTTCAAAATTTGTTAGGTTGTAGTCACATTAAAAGGGAAATTTAATACTTTTCAATTCCAACTCTCTGTAATTCAATTAGAAAAATACTTACATATGGATGTATTTACCTGTATTTATTTACCATTCCTATACCCTTCCTATACATAGAATAAAAATGCATGCCGTCGTAAGTTCGCTGAGCCTAAGGTTCCAAGCCCCAATTCGTTGAAATTTCAACGGGAACTCGGTCCTTTTTTAATGATTAAGTAAGCATTTTTAATATCGAAAGATAAGGGTAACTCGGAATTTCTGAATATTCCCCAAAAGAATAAGTAATAAAATTCATGGCCAGTCAAAAAATTTTAGGAGCATAATGGGTAAGTTGAATTCAAGTCTGAGTCACACTTAACTCGATGATAAAACATAGCTGAAACTGGCATCGATGTATCGTCAATTTAGCGATTTTAGAAAATTGTAAACATCGATGGCAAACATCGAAATTTGAACCGATATTATCGATGTTTCAAAAATATCGATGAATCGTTTGCATCCCTAATAAGAAGGCAAAAACATACCCTTTTACAGGGTTGAGTGTAGCATCAAACACATTTTGCACCGGGGAAGGGCAACATTTTTTGGAAGAAACTAAATCACCATTAATAGAAAAAAGTCCATAATGGATGGAGTTATGAATCAGAGGTTCCCAAACTTTTAAGATG